TTCTACACTTGCTCTTGTCACTATTACTATGTCCCTTTTTAAAATTATTTAAGCTGCTACAGATCTTTACCAAAAAATGCTGAGTGTAATACAGCACACTCACATTTTATGTAGGTTATGTTTCTTCTATATGTTTGCTATATGTGGACCAAGAACATGTGAGGAAAAATCAGGCTACAGTCCTGGCAAATCCAAAATTACCAAATAAGTTTGAAGATAGACTTAAAGCCTTAAATCTCCACTCTCTGGAGAGAGGTAGAATGAGGGGAGGTATTATTGAAGTGTATAAGTGGATGATGGGCATAAACAAACGAGATATTAATAAAGTACTGAGGGTGTCGAACCAGGTAAGAACCAGAAATAATGGATTTAAGTTGGATAAATTTAGATTTAGAAAGGACACAGGTAAGTACTAGTTTTCTAACAGAGTTGTGGATACGTGGAACAATCTTCCCAGTAGGGTGATCGAGGCTAGGACCTTGGGTAGCTTTAAAAAGAGATTGGACAAATATATGAGTGGGAGGGGCTTGGTTTGATTGGTGTCATTGGGTACGGGAGTAAATTCTTGGGTAGCTTTGGGTAGAGGTCATTTTGATAAGGACCTGCCTTGTATGGGCCAGTAGGCCTTCTGCAGTGTTCCTCCATTCCTATTTTTTTTTTAACAAGTTGGCTGTCTCCTACCGAGGCAGGGGGACCCAAAAACAAAGAAAATCACCAAAAAGAAAACACTTTCATCATCATTCAACACTTTCACCTCACTCATACATAATCACTGTTTTTGCAGGTGGCCAGAACACAACAGTTTAGAAGCATATACGTATAAAGATACACAACATATCCCTCCAAACTGCCAATATCCCAAACCCCTCCTTTAAAGTGCAGGCATTGTACTTCCAGTACTCAAGTCTGGCTATATAAAAATAACTGGTTTCCCTGAATCCCTTCACTAAATATTACCCTGCTCACACTCCAACAGCTCATCAGGTCCCAAATACCATTCTTTTCCATTCACTATCTAACATGCTCACGCATGCTTGCTGGAGGTCTAAGCCCCTCGCCCACAAAACCTCCTTTACCCCCTCCCTCCAACCTTTCCAAGGACGACCCTTACCCTGCCTTCCTTCCCCTACAGATTTATACGCTCTCCATATCTCGACTTTGATCCATTCTCTCTAAATGACCAAACCACCTCAACAACCCCTCTTCAGCCCTCTGACTAATACTTTTATTAACTCCACACCTCCTAATTTCCACACACCGAATTTTCTGCATAATATTTACACCACACATTGCCCTTAGACAGGACATCTCCACCATCTCCAACCACCTCCTTGCTGCAGCATTAACAACCCAAGCTTTACGCCCATATAAGAGTGTTGGTACCACTGTACTTTCATACATTCTCTTCTTTGCCTCCATAGATAATGTTTTTTTGTCTCCACATATACCTCAATGCACCACTCACCTTTTTCCTTCATCAATTCTATGGTTAGCCTCATCCTTCATACATCCAACCACTGACACGTCAATTCCCAAATATCTGAAACTCTTCCACCCAACCAATAACAGTAGGAGTCCCACAAGGAAGTGTCCTTGGACCACTCCTCTTTCTCATCTCCATCAATGATCTACCAAATGCATCACAGCTACTCAAACCCATATTATTTGCAAATGACACTACATATGTCTTTTCCTACCCAAACTCAGTCATACTAGCAAACACAGTCAATGCCAAATTACAGAAAATATCTGCCTGGATGATGACTAACAAACTTACCCCGAACATTGATAAAACCTATTTCATTCAGTTTGGAAACAGAGCTGCAAATGATCTAATTAACATAATGCTGATACAACTGTACTGTACAACTGAAATAATTACTATCCTACTGTACAGCTATGATATAAACCTTAGTGTTAAGTAGTCTGTAAGCCAATAATGTTAAGTTGGCCCATAATGCCTAGGCATAATAGAGGCTCTCTTTGCACTGCAACCCATTATTGCAAATACAAAATCTCAATGTTCTGTTTGCAAAGACATAAAATAAATAAAAATAAAAATAAAAAAAAATTCACTTCTTCCATACTCCTCCTCTCCAATTTAATATCCAATTTTTCTTTATCTAAATCATTTGATATCCACATCACCTTACTCTTCTCTATGTTCACTTTCAACTTTCTACCTTTACACACTCTCCCAAACTCATCCACTAACCTTTGCAACTTTTCTTTAGAATCTCCCATAAGCACAGTATCATCAGCAAAAAGCAACTGTGTCAATTCCCATTTTGTATTTGATTCCCCAAAATTTAATCCCACCCTTCTCCCCAACACCCTGCATTGACTTCTTTTACAACCCCATCTATAAATATATTAAACAACCATGGTGAGATTACACATCCCTGTCTAAGACCCACCTTTACTGCGAAGTAGTCTCCTTTTCTTCTACACACACTAACCTGAGCCTCACTATCCTCATAAAAACTCTTTACAGCATTTAGTAACTTACTACCTATTCCACATACTTGTAACATCTACCACATTGCTCCCCTATCCACTCTATCATATGCCTTTTCTAAATCCATAAATTCAATGAAAACTTCCCTTCTTTTATCTAAGAGGGCACTCTCTCAACTACCTAAAGTCATACCTCAGCAACAGAAGCCAATATGTGTACACAAATGGAGCAAACTCTTCCGCACAGCCAATTACAGTTGGTGTCCCACAGGGAAGTGTCCTTGGCCCTCTTCTCTTTCTCATTTACATAAATGACCTACCAAATGCATTGCAACTACTCAAACCCACACTATTTGCAGATGACACTACATACGTCTTCTCTCATCCAAGCCCAGTCATGTTAGCCAGTACTGTGAATACCGAATTACAGAAAATATCTACCTGGATGACGACTAACAAACTTACTCTCAACATTGACAAAACCTACTTCATTCAGTTTGGTAACAGAGCTACAGATGTCCTCTTAACATAATGATAAATGGATCACCTAT